TCTGCATGTTGACTTATCTTTGTTGGCTTCCTTGTTTTATTCAGGATGAATTTAGAGATGCTTCGTCTGTTATGTGTGATAAAGGATTAAGACACTAGTGTTAACTGAAAGCATTGTACAGAAAGGAAGTAGGGCCAGTCTTTGAACTAAGTTTTAGAAAATACTGATTTTATGCGGGGCAATAACCTTGATATGAATTTTGAAAAGAAAATGATATGGCATTGTCCTCAAGTATCATGGACTTCACCGGGGTTGTAGAACCCTTTTCTGGGTTCTCTTTACTGTCTTAGTTGGCTGACTTGGTAAATGATGTAAACAAAATATTGATGCAGAAAAAAAGACAAAAAAAGTCATTCTATTGTATCTCATCTCCATGGCTCCCTCCACACCCCCTCATTGACTTGACCGTGTTGGTTGTTTTGTATAAATTTTTGTGGAGTACGAAGATTATCTGTTAATGGCTTTTCTTTCAGGGCCGCGGTGGGCCTGGATTGTCTTCAAGTACTGGTCAGTTACCTCCGTTCTACGAGCTATTTTGGTTCAGTCATCTTAGGCTACCTAAATAAAATCTTAAATAGATCCCTTTTACCCACCAATGTCTGGATACAGATCCTCCAAGGCAAGTCGGGGGCCCTGCCATTCATGGAGAGTCTGTTAATCAGCCCATTGGTCTCCATATTGCTATAACTGCCGCAGCAGCCATGGCAGGAGCTCTTGGTGGTGCCCAGGCCAGCGTGCTGCCAAATCAAAATGGTCTTCAGAGTCAATCAGCTCTAGCAAATGATCCATTAACCCTTCACCTGGCCAAAATGTCAAGGAGCCAACTTACTGAAGTTATATCTGAGCTGAAAGTAAGCACATTGCAGAAAAGCTGATCATTTTCTCTTTGTTTGATCATGGATTGGCCCATCATAAACTTCTGTTTTGATTGTAGGCAATGGCTACTCGTGGCAAGGAATCTGCAAGGCAGCTGCTGCTATCAAAACCACAATTGTGTAAAGCTCTATTTCAGGTACTTGTCAGCATTTAGAAATCTCCTCTCCTATCATAGTCTATACCATAGAATCTCTAGAATGGAGTTCTTATTCTGGTCGTTCTTTTCTATGATGGCTTCATCCACACACGAAATCTTTTCCAGGGCCTACTTTAGAACCTTTTATATGCCTGGGAGTTCTTATTCTCACTTTCATCCTATTTATGACGAATCTTGAAAGAGTTCTTTTAGGGTTCTTCCAATTTCACTACTTTATTAACACTGATTATGCTGTATCTTTATTGATCCCTGTTCGCGAGAAACAGAGGTGCTATGGTACCAAAAATTACATTTTTTGTGGAAAAAGAGACATGAGCTTGGCAGATGAAAAGTTTGGTTGACACTTTTATTACTCTTACTGGCCTTAGATACTTTTTTACAATATTGAGAGTTCTAACATGTTCCGGCCTCAGGTTATCCTGTTTACAGTTTCAATATTTTTTCGTAGGAGAAGTTAAACCTACATATTTTGTTTTTTTTTTTCCTTTTTGTAAATGACATGTTGATTGTGTATAAAAGGGATTATTGAAGTTCTAGCATTGCCTATTGCCATTGTTCACAGCCGGTTTATTATGATGTGCTTCTGTCAATATTGATGCGCTGTTTTGTCACCTGATTACTGGTCGTCCTGAGTTATCAATATTGATTTACTGTTTTTTTGGGAGGGGACTCATGTAGGCAGAAATAATGCTTGGATTGGTGACTCCACAAACGGTTAGTTTCTTACCCGCTTTCTTGTTGGGGGTTAGTTCATGTTATTATATGTCAAAGTGAGCATCTTGTTTGAAATTTGCAGTTGCATATGCCAAATATTAGGCAGGGTCCTTCTCAACCTTCAGAGCCTTCAGTCAGAGATGGTCATATGATTCAGCAGCAAGCAATTCCAAAACCTTCTGGGCTACCCCCACTTGGACAGAGGATGCAACAACCTGGATTGATGCCCAAACTGCAGCATGGTCAAGTTTCTTCGGTGTCTCAAAGTTCTCATGCACAAAACCAAATATCTGGGCCATCACAACTCGTGATGCAACCTCAAATCCAAGTTCCACAAGTTAACTACCCACAGGGGATGTTCACAGCGTCAGGAGCTTCCGCCAGCTTACCTATCACAGCACGAGGTCCTGTGCCGACTGCTGCTTCTGTTACTCAGCAAATGCACTCCTTGTCATCTCAACAACCAAGACTGGTTGGCGGTGCAGATTTAGCTCATAACTTTCAGGTGGGTCTTTCAAATGCAGCTAGGATTCCTTCTATTTTGCCTCATCCTTCCACATCAGATGTCGGGGATCAGGTTTTAAAACATTTGCTGTTTCCAAAATCACAAATATAGAGAATCTGTTGATGAATACTGTTAGTTGAATCAAGGAAACTTTCTGTGTTTTTGAGGCCGAGACTTTTTTTTTCCCTCTACCGGCATTGTAGAAGAACTGATAAATGGAATTTGGGCAGTTATAATGGGCATTTGGTGAGCACAGAGTACGATTCCGGAGTCTGCTGTGATTTATTTGTTAAGAGTGTGGATAATTAAATCTATCAAATATTACAAAATTTCGAGGAGACAAGATATAATGTTGGACTATCATATCGTGTATGACAATTCTGTGCGTACTACTTCTCCGTTGATCTACACATTGCAGTTTAGCAAGTGGCAAAACTTTTAATAGGTCAAGTTATTTTTTGTTAACATGCCATGCATATTGCATAGAAACTTTGAAGTGCTTGAAGAATCTTTTGATCCTGTCATAAATCAAACCTTGCGAATTCTTCTAATTCTTTGCTTTTGCAGAAAAAGAACTGCTTTGACATGTTATTAGTTTCTCTTTTATAGAAAGGTGAATCTTATCATTTCTTTGGATGAGCAATTTCTTCTGTCTAATGTCCTTTGAAATAACAGCCTGGCCCCTCAATATCATCAGGCATTTCAGGTAGAATGGGCGGTGAGCTTTCAGAACTAAGCAATCACCCTTCTAAGCGGATGAGATTAGAAGATGTCACGGCCAGCTCTTTCCCTTTGGGGGGTCCGAATAATACTGTGGTACCTGGGGCACCTCACTTTGGTCCAGTTTCTCTTAATCCGGCTCCCCAAATGGAACTGCAGCATCCTGAAAGGCAAGCATCTCAGGTAATTTCTTTTTGATGATACTTGCAGAAGTTCAATGGGTTGAGCAATGCAACTTTAAACTGTCATCTGGTGGCACCTTCCAAGACAAAATTTTCTAGTTTGAGATTTATAACTGAAACAAATTGTAAATATGCATGGAAAGGTTTCTAGTTTCAATTCTGACATGGGATTTTTTTGTTCATATTTTCCCGTGCGTTCCTGATTCTCTGTGCTCTGAAGCTTAATAGAGGATATTGAACTGAATGAGGTCCTATCTGCGTGATTCTTTTGTTTTTCCAATGACAGGCTTCGTCAGATGTTGAGTCTGTTTTGCTTCAGCAAGTCATGAGCTTAACGGCAGAACAGTTGAGTTCTCTGCCGCCGGAACAGAGGGAACAAGTGATTCAACTTCAACAAATGCTTCAGCGTGATCAGAGCCAGGCTACCTAGTTTGCGCGGCGACAGCTCAAACGATGGCTTTCACATGAGGCACCTAAATTTTGCTCTGGGGAGGCAATAAGCTCGTGAATCCTACATTCAAAGTTCAGGAATTGTCATACGAAAATAACTTGTGAAGAGGTTCGGCCTACCTGCAGTATGCATGACTGCGACTGCACCCTTGTAACGTTAAAAGTACACGATCGGCATACTGAATACAAGCAGGAAAATTTTGTAACTTCCATGATTTTCAGGAAACCCTTTTTTACTTCAGGTGCCTCTTCTTGCATCTGGCCTGTTTATTGGTGAAAACTATGAGCATTGCGGAGTTGGTCAATAAGAAGAATAAGACTTGTGGTCTTTCTTTGTACTTGGATCTGCTTGCTAGGGGACTATTATGATGTCGTGGTTCTTCGTTTGCCGGTGCCCTCTGGACAAATGCACTACTTTTTCGTATTATGAGTGATCAATATCTTTGAAAATCGAGACATTTTGTTCATCAAGGATGGTCGACAAGCGCATCGAAAAAAGCGATTTTCGTAAGATCATAATGTTGCAGGAGCGGTATAATTCTATTAGCTTCTGTTTTCAAAAACACATTCATACGGAATGTTACTCTGCCTCGATCAATCACTAATAGCTTGTTTGGTAACATTTCTATTTTTTTATTTTTTTGTTCTCCGAAATAGAAAAAAAGCAGAATTTCGTTTGGTAAAGTTAGTTAATTTTTTGAACAGAAACAAAAAGTAAAAAAAAATCTTTTTATTTCTAAAACAAGATCATTTTCTTTTTATCCTTCCTTCTTCTTCCTCCTCTAGCTCGTCACCAGGCCTCGACGATGGCCGGCGAGGCCTAGTGACCGGCTACAAATGAGGGTCGGCGAGGCTTGACCTCACCTAGCCACCGCGAGGATAGCCTCGCCATGGCCAACTCAGCCTTGCCAGGGTCCGGCGTGGCTCGCCCAAGGCCAACGAGGTTGACCTCGCCAGCCCTTGTTGTTGGCCGGTCACCAGCCATCGCCGAGGCCCGACGACCAGCCAGAAGAGGAAGAAGGGAGGAAAAATAGAAAAGGAAAAAAATTTTAAAAATTTAGAAAAATCTTAGAAAATTATTAAAAAACTAAAAAAAATTCCCACATCACAAATTTTTTTTAAGCTCGCGCTAAACGCTTTTCTGTTCTTTTTTTGCACTCACCAAACACGTTCTTCTGAAACACTCGTCCAAGAAATAAAAATAGAAAAAAAACTATTTTTAAAAAGAAATTATTCCGTGAAACAGAAATGCTGAACACATCCCAAATTTTTTAAGAAAGTCACTTTTCTTTATAGAAGAATTTAGTAATTACTTGAAAAAAAATTACTAGTTACTTACTGCAAATGCTCACTTTTTCCAAATGTAAAACGTGTAGTGTAAGTTACACTGGCACCATGCTTCCCGTCCGTGAAAGCCGTGGTTTTTGAGCAAGCTCACGCAAGGCAAAGGCAAAGGCAAAGGCAAAGGCAAAGGCAAAGGCATGCGCTCGTTGGACTCGCTGCTCCAGAGGTGCACCTCCCTCTCCCGCATCAAGCAGCTCCAAGCCCATCTCTTGGTCACCGGCCAGTTCCAGTCCACCACCGCCCGCACGAGGCTCGTCGAGCTCTGCGCCATTTCGCCCTCCGGCGACCTCTCCTTCGCCACCCGCGTCTTCCGCCTCATCCGCCTCCCCTCCACGAACGACTTCAACGCCGTCCTCCGGGGCATCGCCCTGAGCCCCGAACCTGCCGAGGCCGTCCCTTGGTACCGCTCCATGCTGCGCGGCTCGCGCAGGGTCGACGCGCTCTCCTGCTCCTTCGCGTTGAAGGCCTGCGCGCGCGCTCTCGCCGTCCCCGAGGCGCTTCAGCTGCATTCCCAGGTGGTGCGTTTCGGGTTTTGCGCGGACGTGCTGCTGCGGACGACGCTGCTCGATGTGTACGCCAAGGGCGGCCATCTTGATTCTGCGGAGAAGGTGTTCGATGAAATGCCCGTGAGAGATATTGCCGCATGGAACGCGTTGATTTCCGGGCTGGCTCAGGGCCACCGACCCACTGAGGCTATATCTTTGTATAAGAGGATGAAAGAGGAAGGCTTGAAGCCTAATGAAGTGACGGTCATCGGTGCTCTTTCCGCGTGCTCGCAGCTGGGAGCCACGCGAGAAGGCGGAAGGGTTCATGACTATATAAGGGAGGAGAAGCTTGATCAGAACGTCCAAGTTTGCAACGTTGTTATTGACATGTATGCCAAATGTGGGTTTGTCGATAAAGCTTATGAGGTTTTTGATGGTATGAGGTCCAGGAAGGGTCTTGTCACATGGAATACCATGATCATGGCATTTGCGATGCAGGGTGATGGATATAAAGCCATTGAGCTTTTCAAGCAGATGGGTCAAGCTGGGGTTGAACCCGATGCGGTATCATTCCTTGCTGCTTTATGTGCGTGCAACCATGCGGGATTGGTGGAAGAGGGGGTTAGGTTGTTTGATTCAATGAAGGAATGTGGAGTAGTTCCAAATGTGAAGCATTACGGTACAGTCGTTGATTTGTTGGGCCGAGCTGGACGAATTAGAAATGCATATGATATTATAACATCTATGCCGATGATGCCAGATGTGGTATTCTGGCAGAGTTTGCTTGGTGCTTGCAAAACTTATGGAAATGTGGAGATGGCGGAGATTGCCTCACGGCACCTTCTAGAAATGGGGTCCAACGGTTGTGGTGACTTTGTGCTATTGTCCAATATCTATGCAGCTCGTGCAAGGTGGGATGATGTTGGTAGGGTGAGAGAAGCTATGAAAAGTAGGGACATAAAAAAGGTGCCTGGTTTTAGCTATATTGAAGTGGATGGTAAGATACACAAGTTCAACAATGGAGACCAAGGCCATGAAAATTGGCAAGAGATATATAGGAAGCTAGAGGAGATTAGGTTCAAGATTACAGATCATGGATATGTGGCGGGGACTGATTTTGTGTTGCATGACATTGGTGATGAGGAGAAAGAGATTGCCATATGTTATCATAGTGAAAAACTGGCTGTTGCTTTTGGTTTAATTAGTACAGCTGAGGGGACCCCTCTTCAAGTTATAAAGAACCTAAGAATATGTGGGGATTGTCATACTGTGATAAAGCTTATCTCGAAGATATACAATAGGGAAATCATTGTGCGAGATCGTTCCAGATTTCACAGATTCACAGAGGGATCTTGTTCTTGCAGAGACTACTGGTGAAACTGATTTGCAGGAGTAGTCAAACTTGAATTCGTATTACACAGTTAATTGCCACAGCATCCGGTGAAAGATTGAGGGAACAGGTAACAAATTAAATACACTCCATGTATTTCTTTCTACTAGTACACATTGCAGTTTACATGTTAAAGGGGAGAAATAATGTCATAAAACAGTTTGAATCCTGGATGACAGTGATGTCATTATGAATCAGTTTGTTGTTGTGCGGGAAGAGTTTTTGGTCAGTAAAATTGAGGCTGACCAAAATCCTTAATATGAGAAAGCTTGATTAGGCTGTTTATTCAGCATAGGATTGATAATCAAGCCTCCACCTTTCTCTAGTTTAATTGTGGGCACCCTCTTGAATCTTTGCTCAAGCATATTTTAGGTGACAGGCTATGTTTCATGAATTTCCAATCCAAGCTCGAGTTTCAGCAATTATACGGGATTCAACCTGGTATTGGCCTTGTCATGCAATGGCTGACTTCTAGTGGACATTCAAGCTGCAATTTGTGGCGCCTTATTCCCATCACATTAAAGCTCATCTGGAAGTCGTCCAAGAATGGTCTATTTTCAGTTGCTCGTGTTTGGACTTCTTTGCAATCAAAGTCATGAAAGGTATCATGGCACAAAACTCATTTGGTTTCTGACTTCTATTCCAGAACATTGTTTTGTTTCTTGGATGGCTATATTCAACAGATTGCCTACTAAGGACAGATTGGCTTGATGGGGGCATCTCCGTCTCTCGGTCATGATACTTTCTCCTGGTATCGATGAATCGAGAGACCATTTGTCCTTTGACTGTTCAGTTTCCCGGGAGATATGGGGCAGGCTTCTACAACCGAGCAGAATTTCATGTGAGATCGGAAACTGGAGCGACTAGCTTTCTCGTGCTAGTCAACATCTTCAAAGGGAAGTCCTTAGAATGTTTGATTTTGAAGATTGCTTGCAATTCATGAATTTATAACATTTGGAGGGCTAGAAATTTGGCTTTGCATTAGAGCAAGTTTTGTTGGCTGATTCCATTTATAAGATGGTTGTCGTGGATGTTAGACATTTCACTGGCTAAAGTCCCTTCCCAAAGCTCTGCCAAACGCAGCATATTTAGAGTTTACTTGGCCATTAGAGCAACAAAAATCCCCTTTCGAAATTGATTTGTCGTGACTGAGGAATTTTCTAGGGGTATGGGTTGACTGCCCATATTCGGTAGCAGGAGTGGCTACCCTGCTTTATAGTTTTTGTGCAAAGAAATGTACTCGATCATTCAAAAAGAAAGATGTTGATTACTTCCTTTTTGCTCCCACTCTCCCACAGTCATCTGCTAATGATTATCCATTCATTAATGAGCTACATGGTCACTCACAATGACCTTTTAATAGTTAGTTTCCTACTATTTATCTCTAAACAATATAATCTAAGATTATGATAACATGCACCTTAACTTATGTTTATTTTTTGGTTGACAAATGCATAATAGGCATGACCTTTATGAACGAAATAATTTGTCATGACAACCAAATGAATAGAGCTTTAAAATTTGTGTCATTTCCGAATCATTCCACTTCTTTTCGCTATGTAATCTCCCTCGCCTTATACGTTCTAAATCTATTTGATTAAGCATCCCCATGAGCTATCTCTAATCTTTTAAGAACAAGAAGATCGAACGAAGTAGATGTTACTGTGACATCTTTAGACATTACTTATCAAAGGGAGGAAAACCCTCCCCTTATGAAGTGATTGACCTTGGCAAGCTTAGCTACCATGCCTTGGGCGAAGCCCAATGTGTGCTTGCATTTTGCAGTCACTTTTTGCAATTCGTGGCTATTCTCGTCGGCATTAAGACTTCATCATATAGCATGCTAAACGATTAACTTATAGTGACTTGTGCAAATTCCTGCCAATACCAAGTGAACGAATTGTATTGTCATATTCGATAATGAAAAGGTAAAAAGGGACAACTAACGTCGACGCGCTCCCTGCACATCAACATAGGAGCTCCACACCTCAATTCGAAAGTTTGATTTGCTCAATAACTATTAGTCATTGAAGTGAGCTCGTCGATACTACATCATTGGATGTGAGTTGGGACAAAGTTATAATTATTTTACGCCTGGCACATAAGCCAAATCTACGATACATATGAATTGGATTGTCTAATACGATTTCGAGCTATAACAATGGGGCTGCAAATCACATGGAAGTAAGTGTGCATTGATACGGTCAACTAGGTCACTGGTGGATTCTCATCACATACATTGTAAGGGCACAGCAGAAGTCCAACCTCTTCACCAGGAGAAATTGCCAAGAGCAAGCCCAAATTCGAGCCCGTCATCACATTGAATTGGACTCACCTCCACTCAAAATTAGGATATATATTACTTGCTTTATATCATACCGATCTTTGATGTGAGACTTTTTTACACAATTTTCATGTGCATATCAACAATCTCCCCCTTCGTGTTGTCATGAGATTCCTTCTTCAAGATATTCACCTCATCAAGGGAGATGGCCAAGAGAAAGCCTGAGTTCGAGTTAGTTAACAGATCCAGTTGGATTTATCTTCATTTAAAAGTTTAAACTAATGAGTCATGGGTCAACTATCATATACTAATTGTTTTATACCACATCAATTATCCAATTAAGGACTTTCTAACACAACTCACTTGCGCATATCAATTACATTTGAGTGAATTTCTATTCGGGGTTCATGTTTCCCACTAGTGATGTAAATTGGCCGTGTCCGGCCATCACTCGTGCAGTTGGGTTGGGCTTCGCTTGGACAGCTTTTTTGAAGAAACTTTCAAGGGAAAATGGGCTTGAAATGTCCATGACTAAATGGTTGCCAGGGAGATTCGGTCATTCTTCTCTCACCTCTTAATATTGTTCCTGATTATTGGCGGTTTGGCATTCCTCTATTCTAATCTTCTCTGCATCATAAGAGGTCAATGGTCGTTTAGGATGGTTCATATATATATATATATACCAGAAAGAACTGGACGCCCATGTCATTGATGCTCATACACTGGTACCCAGCATTTCCTCATTTACATGACTTCACTAACATAAGAGAAATCTATACCCTTTCTGGCATAAGGAATTGAAATGTAAAACCATAGAGGATGAGTTAAAGGTAAAGGGTGTGCAGTTTTGTGAAAATGTTTACACACACCCACATGTTCCAGTGATAGACTGGCGAGAAAGTTCGGGATATCCAAGAAAGCTCGTGGTTTACGCAGAAAGCGAAAACCGAACTTTGACTGAGTCGTTTGAATATGAAATGGCTTGTACTTACTTAGAGGTGTTGGAAACTAATTAAGCCCCCACCTTACACCTATGTCATAGATACAAGTGTTTTTAGAGGACCGATCTGACCTTACATGACCGCCCTTAAATTGCCACATTGGTACGGACTACCGACCTCATCGACGGGCCTTTTTTCTTTTTCTCAAGATTCTTCCTCGATGCTCTAAAGAGTCGCCTACCTAAGTCATGACCATATACCTATTCTGAAGCAGTTAATGCACCTCCTGTCTCGATGGGTGCATGTGACTGTGTGCATGCGTGCTCGAGATCGAGGGAGGAAGAGAGAGATGAGGAATGCATGTTCCGGAGGGTAGCTTTCGACTTTCGGAGAACTACTCCAAATATTGATGGGTAGGACTGCACGTGACAAGCCTCTCTCTCTCTGCAAAAAGAAAGAGATAAAAAGAAAAAGGAGAGAAATCTTCGTCCAATCGAAGAAAGCAAATTTGGTGGCGCCTGGATCACTACGCACGAGAGAGATTTAGGCACTTGTCGAGCTCTTCCGCCTCTTTACCTACTTCCGTTCGGATTAACACGTGACAGTTTACGTTTCTGTTTGCTCCTTAGCCTACCACCACGCCCTCACCTACGCACACTGCCTTGTTTGACGCAGCTCTTCCAAAGGCATGACAGTGACCTCCGTCTGGCACGGGGGTAACTCGTTGTTTGCTGAAAACGTGGACGTACAAATATGACCCGAATATCCAAATTACCGATCAAAGTTTCAAGGCTTTTGGATGAATGCCAGATTTAATATTAAGATATTTTAACGTATGAGATTTTGTGAAATCCCTACCAATATAACAAAAGTATTCGAATTAATGATCGGAGTATCAATGCTTTTGGACGAATGTGTGATTTAATATTTAAATATTCTAATATGTGAGACTTTGAACAATCATTGTCAACTGTTCTAAAAGATGGAGCTAGCAGATAAATGCGAGGTTTAATATTTAAATATTCTAACATCATAAGCCATCTGTTGGAATTCTTTCTTAGCATATGGTGTTCTATCACGACATGTAGATTCATATAAAATTTTTACGAGTAGTGATTATCGACATGCATACATATGATTATCACGAGACTACATTTGGAAGGAGTGGTTCTTGGTATGACACTCTGACAAACAACAGTACAAAGGATGGACCCTATCTTCACTCTCGTCCGATATCGGTATGAGGATTAACGGACAAGAATTAGCAAAAGGTCAAATTCTATGATTCGTGCAGTTAGTCAGAGCGTCAAGGGATTCCCAATTTAGGAATTGAATATCACTTGTTCGAACGCCACCAACCGCATGAAAGCTTCTTTGGGTCAAGGCCCCTTGATGCACGGATCGAAACCCTAAATTTTAACGGGTGCACGGCTCGACCGACGAATGGCATTCAGTCGAGTTTCGACTTTGCGTTCGTTGGCGGTCTAGGGAGAAAGGCAAATGCTTGCTTGAATGCATTAAGTACTTACCTAGGGTTTGAGCATTGTCTGGATTGGTAGATTCAACTACAAGAACCAGAAACTTTTTACTTGCTGTGTAGCCTTTTGGGAAGCTCGAAATCTACGTTAGAACCTGTCGTGCTCATTAAGGATCGAATATAGTATAATTTTCAGCTGGAAGTGATCGAGTTTAGCCTTTGTTTAGTGTGAAATACAGAGGGTTTTCCTTAACTCCATCCATGGTGCATGTGATCTGTTCCTTGCTGCAAAACCTACAAGTCAATTTCGAAACATCTTTTTTCTTATGATATTAAGGAAAAACAAGCCGTAATAACGGAAACTCGGGTATTTTCCAAATCCAAGGAAAATGTCTTAAAACTGAAAAGGCCAATATATCTAAATAGGAAAATATGAAATTAAAATTACCTAAATTTTAAAAAAATAATAATCTACTAGATTTATAAATTATTGAAATAGACTTTTTAGTAGTATCAAGATTATAACTAAAAAATTTCATAACAACTCATAATAGAGCATGATAGTTATCTCATCGAGCTAACTCAACCTATAGTAAAGTTTGAATTACTTAAAGTCTAAAAAGAAAGTCGAAATTTGGAATTTATCATCGAAATCAATATTAGAGAATTTTTGACTAATTCAATCTAATCATGCAATGAATACACTTCTTCTCATCAATTACTCAAATAAACAAGGTTTATTTTCTTTCTAAAGAATGTGCTATTTAGTATTTTGGTCGAAAATAATCATTTTCTCCTATGAGAAATTCAAAGCATACGATAGAAGTAGAATATTATTACGACAACATTCACTTAATTAATTTACAACAGTGGTAATGTTAAATTTGATAAGTGGCATCAATCACCACCAAGGTGTTGATTCCGGATAAAAAAAAAGTAATGCGTTTTTGCACGGGGAATGTTAGAGATATTTAGGATAATTCCGATGTATCATAATGAGATTACATCAACTTATTTATAGGCTTTATAAAATGACAAAATAAGATAACATATTAATCAAGATACGCATAATCAAAGAGACATATTCGCACAATCAAAAAGAGATATAGAAAACTATCAGAATTATCCTAAATATCTCTACAAGGGAAATCCTTCAAATGAATGTGATAATAGATTTGCATAAAGAAGAAAATTAAGTATCACAATTGAAGGAAAGAGATTCCAAAAGTGTAGCCCAATAAAGTAGGTACCCACTAATTTACTCTGTCGATCGTGATTTTCATATCAGATCTCATATAAAACATTAAAGTTATAAAAAAATTTGCCTCGTGGAGTTTCACCTCTAATATAATATGTATCACAAATCATTACATTTGGCATCAACTCCTTATAATCATTTCCAAATCATTTGAATTTTGAATTTTTTCTATCAAATTCCAGAACCTACTCCAAATCGTCCCCGACAGTGTCACCCGACTAGGTTCGCTTCCGCTTAGAGATGATCATTGGATGGGCCTTGACTAGGGTTTGGTGCCGAGATTGGTCTAATTTGCTACCCAAGCTCGCCCATC